GACCAAGTTACCGTGAAAACGCAAAGCGCAGGCAAATTCTCCGGCAACCCTAGCGTGGAAAAAGAAGTCCATAACTTGAAAGACGTACGGCTCGGCCTCGGATCGAACGAGGGGCTTTGCAGTGTAGCACTCGTTGCCACACGCGGGCCATCTGCCACCGAGCCTTTTCCTTGGCAGTCTGAGCCAGTCCTCGAGCGACGAGTCATCACCAAAAGTGTCCGAAACGTGCAAGGCCCATGTGACCTCGGCAAGCGCCGACAAGGCTTTGACGCATTGTGCAAGGCCCTTAACAGGCTCGACAAGGCTTGCCCGCTCTGGCCCAGCTGCTGCCAGCCTGGCGCCGCACCTCCAAGCATCTTCTCAGACCGACACAAGCCTTGGCCGCTCCTCTCAACGGTTTTGCGTCTCTGCCGACTTCACACTCGGACTTAAAACGCGAAGACGGTGGTGACGCGCCTCGTGTCTACGACCACCATGTCGCCGAGTCGTGCAGCTGGCATCTTCCTTTCTCCTCTCAATGCCTCCCATGGCGCTCCTCCTTCCTCTGGCCCCGCCCCACCCAACCACCCTCCCACGATGCAATACGACCAAGTCGTTGCTGCCCTGGGCGCGACCCCTGTCGCACTAAACGAGGAAGATCCGAAGCTATGTGAGTGAAGCCCTGTGCGGTCTATATGCCCTACTTGATGTCTCGTCTAGTGAGACCACCAGGTCGATTGAGAAGCTTGACTGGCGCTCCCGACGTACTTCGTGCGGGACCTCATCCATCCACATCTCTCTGCAGAGTACGTCTTTCCTTGCGCAAGACTTCAGCGCTTACATCCCTCATTCAGAGACTGACCGTCCCCTGGCCATTGTGGATCAAAATCAATGCTCGCGTCGCGAGGCCGCCGTTCGCGTGGGACGCGCCAGACGCGTCGGGGACGATCCCGTTCGTCTGTTTGCACATCTATTTCGACGCAACTCACTCCCCTTGCCAGCGCGCAGTGAGGAGACCCTCCTCTAACCTCGGCGGTGACCCCATATGTCTGCATACACGCATATATCCACCTTCCTCACCTCCTTTCGGCAGCGCGCACTAAGAGCCGCTTCTAACTCCAGCGGCGATCCCGTACGTCCCCATCCACGCACATCTACCTGCCTAACCTCCTTTTGCCAGCGCGCGGTTGAGTCGTCCGCTGGAATCATTGGACGCCGCGTTGCTCACCTCTCCGCGACACCCAGCGACTGATTCCCAAGTAAGCACAGAGGACGCTTTGAGAACGCACTGACGCCGCTGCTTGACAGATCATCATCCTTACTCCACTGTACATTGCTTCCCTACCGAAAGCACTACCCGCACTAACCTCGTTCCAGTCTTTCACAGTCTTTCTCGCTAGTTGTCGCCAATTCCTCTCCTCAGTGCCGTGGCCCAATCTCTACTCGTCAAAGTGAGCTCCCGTTATTCCTTTGACCGCCGACGGCTCATTTATTTGTACAGACAGGCCTTTCATCTGTCGGTTCTGCATTCGTGTAAGTTTTTCAATCTTGTTGGTCGTCATCGCATTGATGCTGTCCCGCAGTTGCTTCAAACCGTCACTTGTGAGTCAGGCATCTCGCTTAGCAATGTACTGATTCTGTTGTTTTATCAGTCGCTCCCTCGTTTTCGGTTGTGACTCGCTTCTTCCTCCGTGTCCATTCATTCTCAAGATTTGCCTGTAAGTCGTCGCTCCGTGTCTTACAACCCTGCCGCTAACGTACTATTCTGTTTTAGTGTGTGTTTTCTACTTTTTCCTTGTCTATTCGGTGTCCTTCTGTTGCTCGGCGCCCATGTATTCGTTAGAACTGAAAAATGTATTTGTTTTTCATGCTTTTTGGGTTGGGAATACGGAGTACAAGGGAAGCTGGAACCTGGAGGCTGCTGGAGGGCCTTGCAAGGGACACAAGGCCCTTAAATGTAAAGGTCTGGCACCAGATAACCCTCGATTGATAAGATCTATCAGGGTGGTACAAGCCTTGTGTAAGCTTTTAAGGCCTTTTGGCCCTTGAAAGCGACTTCAATCCCCCTTGAACGGCTCCGAGATTTTTGGCGATGGAGTCAAGCCGAATTTGAGCCGAACGCGGGAACGCCCGCCTGATCCGTCTCCGGCCATCACCCCGCCACTGCGCCCATCACGCTGTTTACGTGACACCATCTCTTTCCTGCTCCCCATCCTCCCTCGCTCACTCGACATTCGATGTTGGGCGCCTCACGAACAAAGCTCCTCCCATGCCTCACCGAGCTGCTGCAGATCAAAAGGTGGAACAATGCGCCTACCTCCAGATGCTCGACTCGATCTACCTCGACATGCCGATGGAGCGCGTCAAGATGGGCGCGGAGCAGGAGTACGAGTACGTCGCGAACTATAGGATCATGCAGAACATCTTCAAGGCGAAGAAGATCGACAAGCCGATCCCGGTGGAGAAGCTCATCAAGTGCCAGATTATCCGGAGATGGGAAGTGATAACCTGTAGTTCATTCAATAACTGAAGAAGTTCTGGGACGCGGACAACAGCGGCGAACCGTGCGACGCCATCCGGCGGCGCAACGGCGCCCGTCGAGCCCTCCGCAACCCTTGCCCCCGCGCGCCCTCTCCCCGCGTCGCCCCCGCCGCCCGCGCGGTTCCCGGGCGCTGACGGGGCTGCGCGAGCTCAGCGCGCATGTGGAGGGCCGGAGAAGGAGCGGGACTTTTGTTTCGAGGCGGTTCGTCTCCTTGCTTGGTGTTCGCGCCACCGTCCATGTCGTGTGCCGTCCATCCATCGGCCGTCGCGTGTGCAGTACATCGCGCCCATCACGTGGCGTGCGGGCGTCCGTACCGCATCCGTGCGGCATCCCCGCCCTCCACCCTTGCGCCATCATGTGCAGATCCCCTCGCCCTTTGTGTGAGCTCACCCATGATGTTTATGGGCTCTGGTTTCCGTCCCTTTTGGACTGTGTCAGTGCCTAGGGTTAGACGACTTTCGGCATCGATTTCTAGCTCGAAGCACCTGTCGTTTCATTAAAGCTCCCTCGTTTTTCTGCGCTTTCGGTTCCTTCTTGCTCGTGCCACCCTCCGCCGAATTTCTTGAAGAATCTCTGGTTTTCTCTAGTAGAATTACATACTGTTTTAGGAGCACTTCTGTCAAGAAATCTACACCAGCTCCTGGGCCAATACACCAACTAATTTCGTGCATTCCGAAAACGATTCAAGCCAACCATAGGCCGCGGTGGAATTTACTCAATTTCACGACTTTTTTGCGCCGCAAAGTCGACGAAGTTTGTCTCGGGTTCACGAAAAACTGATCACGGATGGAATCGACACACAATGCATCTAGTCCGCACCTCTCTAGGATGCTTTTGAAACTCAAACTGCGAACGAGCCTAGGCGGGTGAATCAGTGCTATCAACTTCGTGCGAGCGACAGATCGTTACCATTCGACGTAATGTCTTCGGGCCAATACAAGACGCCGGTTTCATCGCTCTCGAGCTTGATGACGACGTCCAGACCGTCTTCGATGAGGCATCGGAGCGTCGAGGTCGCCGCATATGCGCCCGGCCGCCAGGAACACCCGAGTTCATCTTCCTCGTCGTCGAAATCATCGTATTCTGACGGATCCGCTTCGCCCGGCGGCGGACGCCAGTGGTTCCTCCGCAGACGACAGGACCGCAATTTTGCGCCGTTGGTGGACTTCATCCTGCGACGCAGGCTCATGGTTGGAAAATCATGCTTGACGGCTGTGTTCTGCGGAGATGGTGAGGTGCGTGAGCCGAGGGACTGGTATAGACAACGGGTTAGGCTGTCGATATTGCGGAATCACTAATTTTCAGAGTCTCGACGGAGGGGACGGTGGCGAGGCATTCGATGATCTGCTGATCGTTCTGGCAATCATCGGCCCCGATGATGAGGTGCAATGAACTCTTTCTCGAGTTGTAACTGCCAACCACCGCGCCCGCGTCCAACTTATATCCGCGTTACCTTGCTCCTGTGAACGTAAAGCCAGCGGAATAAAAGCAGCTGTGCGCCGTGCACCACACCCGCTTCCTCCCAGCATTTAATGCCACCGAAGTTCGCACGATTTTGGCCCGATCGCACTTCGGACACTGTGCGAAGTTAAACTCTCGGTGAAATCTGACCCAGCAAGACATGTTCCTGGTCCTCGAATTCGAATCCCCGGCACCTTAATGAGAACGAAGTGAGCCTGGATTCCCCGTCGCTTAATCCCTAATCAGCAGGGCTTCTATTTGAGGCTCGAGCCTGCTGCTAGGCTCGGCTTGCGTCGCGGATGCACATGAGGCAGTCCCGCCAATCCACTCTCTACTCCATCAGCACAACCGTGATAGGCTAAAGAGGATCGGAAAAAAAAACAGATTACTTCATCATGCGGGCGCCGGCAGGCGAACCCCTGCCCCTGCTTTCATGGTTTGCAACAATTTGTATGAAAAGCAGATGTGTAGCGAACACCACGCCCGCTTCTTTTATAGGATTTCATGCTCTACTAGTTGAGTAGATTTTCCTCGCGCTGAAAAGGCCCCCGAGTTGCGTGAGAATAGGACGATCTTCTTATTACTTAGTTGAGGTTACTGTAGTTCAATCCTCCATCTCTCGAATCAGTGAACGCTCGCGAATCGGATTTGCAGCAGCACGTACTCGCGTCCATTAGCAACGACAGTGAATGAAAAGTTGGGGCGAACAAACCTCAAAGGAGCTCAAACCCGATCTGCTGCTGAGTAGATTATCAGTACCTATGGAAGGCAGCCGTGAACCGCACACCATGCCCACTTATTCCTTACTCTTCTCCCAGGTTTGCATCCGCTAGATTTTTGTCCCGTCCCGACCTGGGGTGTTGAATTTATCTGGAGGAGGAGACATCACCGCCAGAAAGTCGGAAAGAATTGTCGGCAGTCCCGTTACATGAAAATTCTGGAGTGATGATGCACGCTGTATTATTTAGCGGTGGATTCAGGCCGGGTGCAAAAGAAAAACCCCGTAGTACACCTCCCATGCGGGCGTCGGAGGTCGAACCCGGGATGCTGCTGATCATTTCATTTCCCACTGGCCGTCTATGAAATGCAGCTGTGTGTACCGTACACCACGCCCGCTTCTTGCGTTAGCTCGCCTCGAGTTTTACTTATTCTCTCGAATTCAATCCCGGGCACGTTCACCCGATTTCGCCTCGATTGCTCCTCGGAAATGCTGAAAAATTGAATTTATAAACTCATTGCGCCTGCACCTGCACTTCGACTGCCGTGTGCCGTGTGCTGATCGAAACTCAGTTGGTATTGTACTTTTCATGAATGAGCCAAAGAAAAACGATGAACGTCAGGAGTCGAACCCGGTCGGCTGCTTCCATTGCTAGTACTCCGCGAATCAAAGAGCAGCGCTGTGTGCCGCACACCACGCCCGCTTCCTCCCTCTCCAGTAGTCTCATTGTAGGATTGATTGTTGCGCTTAGAGATCGCTCACGGGACTCGCCGTTCACTAAAAGGAGGAGTCATAGGATATATTCATGCAGTCGAACCCGCTATGCTGCTCATAATTCCCTTTCCAACTATGAATTGGTGCTGTGTGCCGTACACCACGCCTGCTTCCTTCTCCCATTTAATCCTCCCGAAGTCAGCTCCATTTTTCGCGTATACCGGAGGTTCACCGCGTATCGTTCACGCATCAATCTCCCCGTCCCCTCCCTTAAGTATGCCCACAACAGTCGAAGCAAACCCAAACACAAACGCAAAAAACAACAAATTAAACACACGCTCTCTAGCATACGGCTCCTTTTCTCCTCCCTCCCTCCATCTTAAAGAGCAGGGAGCAATGAAGGTGAAGAGGAAGGAAGGTGAAGACCGAACAAGAGTAAGAGCGGAGCCTAGAACGTCTCTTCCTCGTCGATCCCGCCGTCGGCCTCGCCCTCGGGGACCTCGAGGCCCGCCTGCAGACAAGCAAACAATAGATCACTACGGGGAGAACGGGGAGAGAACGAGTAAGGTGGGGAAAGACGGTTGAAAAAAGTACGCCCGGCACACGCCTAGGGTTACGAGCGCTCGCGAGAATGCGGATAAATAAAAGGACACAAAGGGGGGAATACGAAGGGGTCGGACGCGATTACAAATTGCAAGGGTGGTCAAAGGGGATAGATGGAAGAAACGATGGCTCGCGGGTGCGACGCGCAGACGTGGGGCGACAAGTGCGGCAGGCGGCCAGCGTCGTCGCGGAAGGGTAGGAAGGAGGCGACGGGGATCGCACCCGACAACACATCGCCGTCAGCCCGAGCGCCGGCCGGGCACACGACAAATGTCGCCATTCGCACGTGTGCCGCGATAACACATCGCCCTCAGCTGGAGCGCCCGGCCGCCAGACAAAATGGAAGCGTGCGAGAGAATAACACATCGCCCGCCCGGCCGTTTGCCCATGGACAGATCGCGCGATGAATAACGCATCGCCGAAAAAAAAAAGACAAACAAACCACAAGACGAATTCGTGCACCACACTGCTATACAAGATCCAAACAAGATCTTCTGTATCTCAGGGAGCGTTCGCGGAGCTGTATGTCCCACAGCCAATAATTAGCGAGAGAGAAGGAGGGAGCGAGGGGAGGGAGTGAGGAGATGGCGGAGGGCGGTGTGGGATCTCGGCACCATGGGACACGGCCACGGACACCCGAGGGCGCCGCACAACCGAGACATGGTGCGATCCCCGCGATGCACGAGGGGACGTCGGTGCCGCACGGCACCCGGGATGGGCACGATCAGGCGGCACGCGGTGGACGCGATCTGCCCCCGCGGCACGAGACACGGACGGCACACGAAACGTCCGGTGGGATGAACAGCAAGGTAGGAAACGCACATTCTCAGAGTAAAAGTCCCGCTCCTTCTCCAGCTCCTCCAACTGCGCCCTCAGCTCGCGCACCTGCCTCGTCAGTGCCTGCACCGCCGCCGCGTCCCCCCTCCCCCGGCGCGGAGGACGCCCACAGGCGTGCACCCGCCCATCTGCACGCGCGCTGAAGTAGCACTGGAGCCGGCGACGGCGGGACGGGCGGGCGCGAGGGTGGCCGTCGCACAACTCGCCGAGTTCGCGTCCCGGAGGATGTGTGAGGGACGGAGGCAGATGAAAGCGCGGAAGTAGGGGAAGTCGGGGGAAGGTGTAAGGCCCACGGAGAAGGTCGGAGAAGTTCGGCACCTTGGCACGTGTCCCGGGACTTGCCGGACGACATGTCGGCTGCTGTTCTATTCGCTGCCGACTTCAGATCCATTCAGTCGGGCAGTTTTTTTTCCCACTCCATATGTTACTGTCGATTTGCATTCAAATAGAGCCACGCATCACCAATCCAGGTTGGTGTCCATCGTCAACCTGCATTTCTGGTTCAAAATCCCCATGGTCCCAACATAGTCCTCCTGAAAATCGTCGGAGAGCGTTGAAGTGCCGCCGGGGACTTTCATGTCAGCAAAATCCGCTTTCAATATCTGTGTCAGGCAGCACATTTGAACTTTGAACTGTCTGCTAGGTGCTGGCAGCAGTGGATGATCTCATCCGCCCGAACAAAAGGCAACATTCTTGCCCTCAAACTTCGGTCGATGGAGAGGAAATCAACATTCTGAAGCTGTGGAATCATCGACGAAATGAACTAAATTGTAACGGGTGGACGGGGTGGATTCTTGTGCAACGCAACTCGAGAGACAACACAAAAGATGGTTATGCATTATCGTGTACACCAATGTTGAATTCCGGCAGAGTTCCTACTCACTTATAGAGCTTAAATAAAGCGTCAAAATAACAAAAGACGTTTCTTATTAGAGAGCTTGCGCAAAAGCCGCACGAGCCGCATGCGGCATTTTGCATTGCGCAAAGCCGCACGACAAATTTGAAATGTGAGAGGTGTCAATCAATGTAAGCTTACCTGAGGCGAAGGAGAGGTGCTGTGGGGAGAGGGAACATCCTCGGCATTGCCTCTGCTGCGTGGCAGACATGAGAGTGTGGGAAAAGAAAGTGGAGCTCGAGTGGTGCCTTTGTGATGCTTGATAAATGCGGCCTCCCACAGTTGCACATCCAACAAACAGCACTCTCAGGAGTGGAATATGGGATTTAAGGGGCATTGAATGGTATTTAGCAAGACAAGAATTAAAAACAGCAAAGAAAGACCCGCGGCTTTGCGCAATGCACAAAAGCCGCGTGCGGCTCGTGCGGCTTTTGCGCAAGCTCTCTATTCTCCACTGCGGGTGCCGACAGTCAACTCCCTAGATGCTACTCGGTTATTCTGCGGACGCGCATAACTGGCAGCGGTGAGAAGACCTTCCATCTATACCTGTGTCATATGACACACTAATTACCATGACGATGGGTAGCTATTCGGGAATAGCCCGCACTTAGCTATTTAGCCATAATCCTAGAATGCCGTATAATACCCGTTCGGAGATTATGATAAATGATCAGGTGGGGGCAGTGCCCATTTTGTGTATGAAAGAGGCACCTTTAACACTGGGGGCAAAGACCGACGCCCCTGATTTTCAAGTGCGACCTATGCATGTGGTGCACAGGTTGACAAAGACACTTACATAAGTCGGTCTCTGGCACATGAATATCAATTCTGTCTCTCAATTCACTGATTGGGAATCTGGGCTTATATCTGTGCTCACTGCGGCGCGCAAATGCCCAACCCTTGGTCTGCTTCGAGTTTACGACCGCCTCTCGGTTCTGAAACTATTGAATACTTTTTCAAGCGGAATTTCAGGCATACCATCCTTGATGCGCTGGGAATTCTGGCTGCAGGATACTCTTTCTTTTCATGCCGGTGTTTCCTCCCAAGCCCGTTGGTACCGCTGTCAAGCATTTCCCCTTTTTTTTTTGGTTTCGCATTCTTGGATGGACAACCCAAGCGCGAAAACCCGCCGGCATTGTCAGAACTCAGGTAAATTCTCGCCATCATTTGGCTTCCTTATCATGTTGTAAGTTATCTTTGCGATGTTCACAAATATATGCCTTTCTGGGCTGCCAGAGCAAAGCGGCGGCACATCTTGTTTCGTTAAAGATCGGTCAATCGCACCCGGCGTCTTTTGATAACCATCTACATCTCCGCTGCCGTCACTTGTGGGCTTGGCTCCGCTGCCTAGGCCAAGAGACCCGCTATGATTGATGGACAGATGGGCAACTACAGCTACCGGCACTGATAAATTGCAAGTGTACGAGAAAGTGTGGGACTATACATATAAACCGGAGGACGACAACCGGGACCAATTCACCCGTCTTTCCTACCCGCCTCCAGCAGCTCACATACAGCCCAAATGCTCGTACAAGCTGCAAGAGGCTCTGCTGAAGACTTGGTTTCTCCTGCCCAAAACGGCAGTGAAACAGATGTTTCTGAGGATTCAGTGCGTGGTTGATAATTAATCATCTACTACCTAAGAGGCTGACTTACGATCAGGCACAGATACTCAAATACCAAGGGCTGATCAATCAAACACCTCCAGATCACCCGGATCTTCCAAGTTACTACTGGAGGTTGGGAGAGATCTTTCGAAACAGTTATGAGCACAGCGAAGAATTGAAGGATCTCAATGATGCGGTGCAAACCCTTCAGATAGCTGTGAACCATACTCCAAAAGCAAGCTCTGAGAGCGCGGACCGCTTGAAAAGTCTGGCTTTAGCTCTGACACGGCGATATCGAAGGTTGGGCAATCTGGCGGATCTAGAGTCTGCACTGCAGAACTATAAAGAAGCAGTTGATGTCACCTTGAAGGAGAATCCTGCTAGGCCAAGGCACCTCACCAACTATTCTGTGTCATTGCTAGAGCGATATCAAAGGTTAGGAGACCTGGGAAACCTTGAGGGTGCAATGCAGACTGCTCATGAAGCAGTTGACCTCACCGCAGAAAGGCACCCAGAAATGTCAAACCGTCTGCAAAACCTTGCTTTGTGTCTGTCGGAAAGGTATCAGAGGTTGGGGGATCTGAAGGACCTGGATGCTTCATTGCAAACAAACCAGAAAGCAGTTGCTCTCACCCCGGATGGGGACCCAGATATGCCAAGCCGTCTCCAAAACCTTTCTGTGTCATTCTTGCACCGATATCAAAGGTTGGGGGACCAGGCGGACCTTGAGGTTGCAGTACAG